TACACAGACCAGAGGTACATATAATATGAGCGTGATTTAAAATGTTTCGCAAGTAACGAATTCCGACCTTGTTATGTTCGGAGGGCGCTACTTTCGGGCAAACAAATATAGCATAATAAAAAAGTTTAAAACATTTCAAGGAGGAGGACATACAAGGAGCTAAGCTGATGTCACAGACTTACCGGTTTTCCCTTGTCTCCAGGGCTTCCGCGAATTCCTGGTGCTCCATATTGACCCTGGAAAGCAGAATTGACTTTGCTAACAGTCTCACTTGCTGAACTAACCATTTTGTTACCTACAAACAAATCTCATGCCCCCATCCCCCTCCCCTTGTTTAATAAGCCTTGCATCTAGCAACTCTGCTTTATTTATAAACCTCAAGACGTGTTGACAAACATTGACCAACAGAAACAATCACAGTAGGCACACTTGTGCATTGTGGAACTACTTTGATATTTTGCTGAAACCAGAGAGCTAATGAGCCTTACCGGTGAGCCGTCACCGCCTCTCGGTCCTGCATCACCGGGACTGCCCTAAAGTAAAAGTACAAATGTTACTCTGGTAAAATATAGTCTGCTCAGGAGTATCTGAAGTAATATCTGGTTAGGATGAACTAAATTAGATGATGCATTCTTTTAAGTTGTCCCTGCTTTATATGCTCTATCTCATTAAATACTAATCAAGTTTAAGGACGGTGCCTACTAAATACAAAGGTTTTTGCGCCACGCTAGGACCACACGGAAAAAGTAGATCTTTGCAAGAGCTATTGGGATCTACAAAGAAAAATTACAGGAGCCATGCTTTTTTTCGAGATAATTTGCCTTGAATCTCAACAAAAATGCTGACATCAGCATTTTTCTGAAAAAAATAAGGAAAGGATATTTCTTCACAAATTTCCTTAGAATTCGCCATTACATACAGAAAAGCAAACACGTTTATAAAGATCTTAAAACTACATGGTAAATGGTAACATAAAAACAATTTTTGGTGTGTTTTTAACAACAAAATCGTTGCAACAACGCGTCTCTGGCAGCCTTCCTCTGGTTCACCTAAAATACAGTCTAAATACCTTTTGCTCACAACCAGAAACTAATCACGTGTTGAATAGACTTGCCACTTCCATTTCATAACAAAAGTTATTGATCTTATTTTTTTTTGAAAACTTGCCCGTTACATTTTTTCCTGTCACCTCCCCAGTTAGTAAAAGATTTGCGTATATCGCACTTGTTTTGCGCGCGCACTACGCCATCCGCAGGTACATGTTTAAAGTTGGATTTCAGTTTAATTTTCGCCAGATAACAGCTAGGTTTTCAGCTAGAAGACGTTAACAGTTAGTGGTTAGCGATGTGCTACTATTCTGGTGTTCCTGGTTTTTAAGCACAGGTTCATTAAACTTTATTTGGTCACAGTAGGAAAATTTTGCTTTCATTTTAGTCGTGTTCTTGGTAGCGTAGTTGATTGCTTCAATTAGGGAGTTTACAAAACCACGAAGCCGACGCCGATACTCTTTAGTCATTTACTTTGTTTATCACTGTCAAAACTATCGCAAAACTAAATCCGGAACACAGCGATAAATTTGAAATAAAGATTTAAAAA